AGAGAGAGAGAGAGAGAGAGAGAGAGAGAGAGAGAGAGAGAGAGAATCCTTTGAAGCTGCGATTTGGCTGTTAATTCACAAGGTCACAGAGCATGTTTTTCCTAAAATTTGGAAGACACCTGCTTTATTACTAAGACTCAAAAGATTCTGTGATCCCAAAATGTCACCTTTCCAAATTTCATTGTACGTGGCAGAGTTCAGGTTCGTGGACCTGCAAGCCGGAGGGAGGAGGTCATGCGGCCAGTGTCCGCCCGCCTCTGGCTGTGGGTGCTGCTTACCTTAAAGCACTCTTCTTCCTCTTTGTACACTGGGTTCATGCCGGCTATCAACGGGATGAACTCCGCTGGGGTGAGTGGCTTTTGAATCTGCTGCCGGATTCTCCTGTCCGTGAGCACACCTTTAACCACTTTGACTATGTTTCCCTGGGTGAAGCCGTCGGTGACCTTTGCTAAGCAGCTGATGTTCAAGGCCTTGGTGAGGACTCCACCGTTGCGCTGAATGATTTGTTTCCACAAAACTGTTGCATCAAAGATGGTGGAAAACACACAGAGAACAAGCGTTACCACAGAGCAAGCAGTGCTAGCCCAGCTCTCCACAAACTTCATCTTGTCGGAAAGGACACACGGGCCAACTCCCACGTACGAGTCATTCAGATGAGCAGATAACTAACATTGTCCTCTGGGGACTCTCCCCCACAGGACCCCGAGGTCTGTAGGTCACACGTCCCTTGCAAATAGACAAGGAAGAGTTAACCGGTACAGTCGAATGCAACCCTAAAGATGCTGAAGAGCTTTCAGAACTGGAAATTTGTGTGGGGTATAAGTGGCACCTCTGCTCATCAGATTATTATATTTTCCCAAGCATTTGGATAAGTAGTTTAACATTACTTTTTTTTTAGTTATAAAGTTCATTTCTTATATTATTTGCACAACTGGAATTAGAAGTCACATTATGATTTTCTCTAGCTACTGCAAGGCTTTGGGTAATATTACACATTGGGTTAGGTGGAGCACTGTGACCTGTTCTCTCCCCCTGTTTATATAGGTTGGTTGATTGACAGTGCCTGGGTGGGTGGGACCGGGGTAAAGAGGAGATTTCCCTCAGAGCACAGGAGGTTGTGCAAATGAAATAAGTTTGATGCTTACTTTAGAGATTGAACAAACTCGGTGCAACATTTAAACTAATATTACATTTGGAGAACTGTGTCCATTCTGCTGAGACAGCACAGGGAAGGGACCGAGGACAGGTGAAGGCACCGAGGACAGGTGAAGGCACTCACGGGCTGTCTGTCTCTTTTTTTTTAATGACTGTTACTGTACAATCTGGCCATCGCCAGACATGGTGAAGGGTCAGTTCTGCATTTGTTCAATGATCCCACCGTCCACATCCACTGAGCTGAAGACAGATGGTGAAAGGCAAAGGTGTACTGGCCACTGTAAAGGAAGGGACCCGGGAGCCACTTCAGAGAGTACTGCTTTGGGAGCTGAGTGATCCCGCAATTCGCCTCCACTGTCCTCTTTGGTGGGGTCCTTTGGGGGGCAGTTGATTTGCTGGTAAAGGCCAGTGTCCCCGGGGTCCTGCCTGTTTCTCCAAGGCATCAAGGGTTTGGAGCCCTGCAGCGAGGCTAATAAGGGCCCTCGGGATCCCCATGTTGGCTGGAATCATCAGCCACCCCTGAGCTGCTCTGCTCCTCAGCCTTGGTGGGACGCAGCCACGGCAGTGTGCGGGCTGCCCGATGGCGCTGACTGTGGGTCCGGTCTTAGCTGCATGAGTGCTGCTGCCACGGTGACCGCTGGTCACTGTGCCTTGCACTAGTGCTTCCCGCCCTCACTGAAGCATCAGTTATAAACACAGCACAAAGGGAGCTACGGAATGCTTCAAGGCACATTTGTTCAAAGACAGACTGTAGCAGGCAAGGGTAATCCCCATCTAATTATGATTGCCACAGAGTTAGAAAACATAACCTAGGGTAAGAATGGAAACACCAATAACAATGGGGAACACCGTGAGATGGAACTGACACGTCTTCTGCCCAAACTCATCATCCACAGGGGACCAGCACGCCTGAGAGCCAACTCCGGAGGGCACGCATGTCCTGGGAAGCACAGCTGGAGCCGCTGAAGCCCAAGTAGACACCTGTGGTGGACACTCAGGATGGCGGTAGCCCTGCTGGGCAGGAACAGCCTTCCTGCCCGTGGCTTGAGGTGGAGCCATCCGGGGGCAAGTAGGGAGGGCCAGGTGACCCTGCAATAGACACCTGACTCAGTCCCCTGCTGCCCTGTAGACTGGCAATAGTCACATCTCTGGAAGGGCCTGCCCAAGTCATGCCACTGTCCCACATGAGCAATCTCTGCACGTGAGGGTCACTAGCAATGGAACACAGCCCTCTGGGGCAGCGTGCACGTGTGGACACACCACTCACCATTTGCAACAGGCGATGCTTGGTGTTCGTGTAGTTTGGCCAGTGTTCCTGGACAGACTCCTTTCATTGATGACTCTCCAGAGATCTTGGGTGTGGAGTGGAGGTATAGTCACCGCTGGCCACGGGTCCCTACCTATCGCATGGCCGAGAGTGGGCCAAGGGCCAGGCTTCACTTCTTCTCGTGCTGGACTGATTTGATGGTTACCTTTTAAAGAGCTGCGAGTCTGGCTTTTTAAAGCCACGTGCCCAGGCTCTTGACAGCAGCTGCTCTGGGGTCAGCATGGAGTGAGGCTCGGAATGGAAGGCTTGTTGCCACAGGAGCCCAGGGTGCAGAAGTGCGGGAACCAGAGGCCACAGGTCCGGCTCAGGAGTGCAGGTGGGGAACGCCATGCACAGTCCCAGGGGCCCACAGTGAGTGTGTGGGTCAGGCCCAGGCCAGGGCTGACACCGTGGGGGCCTCTGGGTGGAGGGCTGTGTTCCACTTCCTCTCCTGGAGGCAAAGGATCTCTCAGTTCTTCAGATCAATCTACATTGTCTTTCCCTTCTTTAACTGAAATGAGTCTGGTCTTTGGCTTCTCCCATCTGCTTCTGACGTCCCAGTGGATTCCATGCTGGTTGCCGCTCCACCAGACACAGTATCTTAAAGTTCATTTAATGTGAGATCTCACAAAAGTAGGAGAAATGAACGATGAATAACTTGACTTGGGCAAACACCTGACCCTCTGAAGCCTCAAATCCCAGAAGACACAGACTGGACTCATCCTATCAGACACTGGGCCGGGTGGGGTCCATGATGAATTGGGCAATTAGACAGACAGACCCCCGGGGAGGGGCCAGAGGAGAGAAGCATTAGGGACGTGGAGGGGGCAGGCCAGAGGGAGCTCTGGGGAGCAGACAAGGCATTCATCAACTGGGGAGGTGGGTTATCTTTGCAGAGACAGCTGACCTGGGGGAAGGAGGTAGACACTGAATCATAACTGGCGAACCTTAAGGACCTGGCCCTCGGCATTGTCACTCCCTGCCAACAGCCGGCAGGAATTTGACAAGTGGGAGGGTGAATGTTTCCGTGCACCTCGGGAGCTCTGCTGCGGGCAGACAGATGGCCGGGTGATGGCCCAGTTATGGATCTGCAGTCCATGCTTGATGGGCGGGGGAGATGCTTCTGGTCCCTGCTGTGGCAGGGACCGTCCTTCTTTAAGACGAATGTCCCCACTGCTATGGCTGTGAAAGCTTCAAGGCTCTGGAGGAAACACTGGACGGTGCTCAAGATGTGGCAATAATGGCAGCTTGAACAGATCACCCACCAGGAAGAAATATGCGACAGGCACGTGGCTTGGTGGACAGCTCTGCGCCCAGGAGCAGAGCTGCAGGTCTGTCCCCTGCCTCCTCCCGCGAGGACGCCGTGAGGAGGTCCAGGTGGGAATCTGCAATGCCCTCTGCGTCTTGGAGACACCTGATCTTTCATCAAAAGGACAAAGTCGCCCGTGCGACATCAATAGCTTCATTTCAGGGCCCTTGGGTCTGTCAAACAATGGGACCATTCAGTCCAGTCAAGAGTAGTGTTCTGGCCCCTTGGAATTAATGACACCGACGTTACTTCATCAAACACATAAAACATGGGCCCCAGAAACACAACAGAGGAGAGGAGGCCGAGGGGAGGGCAGAGGCTCGGCAGAGGCAGGAGCTCAGCCCGTGGGGGGGTGCCAAGGCCCTAGGCAGTGGGGCCTGGACTCGTCCTGGCCAGGGTGGTGTGGGCTGGCCCTGCGGGTCCAGTCCCTGGGGCCTCCTGTGACATCCTCTGAGCCGACTTCACTCTTTTCTCCTGACACTGGCTGGATGCAAGGGATCCCATGGGGCCCTGGGCGGCTCTGTGAGATGGAGAAGCCACCTAGGGATGAAGAAGCCACCTAGGGATGGAGAAGCCACCTAGGGA